GGAGCTATTGCCTACAGAAGTTCAGGGTATATCCTCTATTATCTCAAAGTACAAGACATAGAAGAATAAATTTACATTACAGCACAGTAGATTCCTATTGAATGTCGGGAAAAACCTCCTTATGTTACAAGCAGTTCAATAATGGGACCAGTTATTCAGGGACTGGTGGGCTTCTCTTCAATGCATCAGTTTGAGGGGAGACTAGACAGCCATCTGCCTAGCATGCTTTAATCTGGATTCTTGCACTGGGCAGGAAATGGGCTTGGTGGCTCCATTTATGCATCCTTCCAACTCTGGGATTCCTTTTCATTATAAAATTAAAACAAAAACAAGTTTAACAAAACCGAGATACTAAAAAGAAAAAGGAAAGAAAAAAAAAGAAAAGTGTTTCTAACCCTCATTAGGTTTAGAATTGATATTCCTATTGAGTATTTCTACTCAGCATAGGAATATTAAGAAAAGATGGATAAGTATATTGGGACAATGCTAACAGTACCCATGTCTGAACTACTCTAGTCCTCATCCAAATGGGTGGAACATTTACACAGACATATATTAATGGATGCTTGTAACACAAGGACTAAATATGTATTTGAGCTACCAACAGTTTTTACAAAATGATGGCATACACATTATGACAAATACATAAAGATTCATATATATCACCATTGTCAAATCTTGTGGACTACTAAGTCAGAATGAGAGCCAATTTGCTGTCATGTAAGGCCCTAGGCTACAAACGGGGAGACCATGAATTCTAGTCTTGCCTTATCACAAGGCCAGCCGGGTGACCTTGCCAGTCATTCTTTGTCAGCCTTAGGAGGAGGCAAGGACAAAGAAGTAGGATTATGCACTTGACAATATATAATTCTGCTTTAATTCAGGAAAACTTGCTTCGCTATAAACTAATATTCATTTAATACTGAATACCAGTTCAAGCAATCATAGGGAAAATTGCCAAATTCTGCAGATAAGTTGGACTACTTAACCAAAATATCTTCTATATCATAGTTTTAAAGCCATTACAGTTTGCATAATCATGACATGCTCCATTTATGTACTGAAATGAAATGGAACAGTTATGCATGAATATTTAATGCTAGTATCAGATTGAAAATTGTCCTCCAACCAAACTTACATAATTATGGATCCCCTCCACCCTCCTTGCTGTCTTGAATTTTCATTTCAATTTATATTTCTTATAATATAATTGTTGCTATATCTCAAGGTAGATGGCTATACAAACAAGCGCTTTATATTTGCTATGATTAAATTAAATAAGCATATTTTTATTTTATTTTTATGGTGGCATAATCCAATAACAACAACAAATCAGTCTCTTGCTCACCCCTTTCCCCTCCCCAATGATGATTAGTTATTTAATCATCAAAACCCTGGTATTTCTTCCCCTAAATATTGTTTCCAAGGATCTGAGAAACGGCACAGGCTTTGGAAGATAACTTTGAAAGCTTCAAAAATTTGGGGTTGGAGTTATACAAAACGATGAAGGTTTTTGGTATAATTTTTTCTCATTTGGAAATAAGATTTGAACAACATTTCATGGAAGTTTCAAAGGTGCTTTTTCAAGAGGCAACTAGATTTCCTTGTTTTTCTTTGAAGACGTTTTGCTTCTCATCCAGGAAGCTCTTCAGCTGATGTGAAAAGAGAAAAGCGAAATATCTTCAAAGAAAAAAAAGTCCAGTTGTTTCTTGAAAAAGCAGCTTTGGGGCAACCATAACCTGTATGACTGAATATCTCTATAGACATTTCATAGAAGTGTGTCTGGATATAATGTATAGGTTTCTTCAGATGTGCTCTTTAAATTTTCATGGAAAGAGTTTTACATGCACATGCCAATTTATAGGGATAACTATGTTTATGAGGACAAAGGGGAACAAATCCAGCTTTGACCTCTTTCTCTATATACTCAAATATTCTTGTAGAAACTATAAATAGATTCATATGTGCCTGGTTTTTCAATAACTGAATGTGAGCCGAGTGATTCCCAATAGAGAGTAGCTTTCTTCTAGCAGAATTTACTAGAAGAGAAGAAAAGCCAGAGCAGAGAATCATGTAAACATATTCTTCTGGGAACAGAGGGCTTGGACCTAAATCAATATATATCTTGCACCTTAGCAGAACAATTTGGAAATTATTAATGTAGAATACGTATGTGATCCCCAAACACATACTGGATAGATGTCAGAGGCTAAAATCAATGCTGTGTGAAGCATATCCATGGCATAGCAACCAATATTTTAAGACATATGATGCCCCTTCATATTTTACATGTACCATGAACAGAAGCATTCTATAAGGGATAAATATTATCCCATAATAAAATATTAGTCAGTATGAATGAAAAGTAAGTGAAATATTGCTAAATAAAATTACTCCCCCACAAATCATTACAAAAATTTCATGGGTCACATTCTTTACAAATGTCTGTATGAAAATGTCCAAACCTCAGATGTCACTAATTTCTGTGATTCGGTCCTGTAGATTCCTATAGGAATATCTCCAGTTGAAGAACAAAGCTTCTGATAAAGTCTGGCATATGTTCTGATCCACAAATCATCTTCTGTGATTTTCATCTAAGCAATAAGAACAGAAACAGCACAGCTCAAATCATTGATTTATTTATTCATTCAAACGGGATCACCCAAAATATTACAGTAAGCAACAAATCTTACAAAGCAAAGCATTATTTATTGTATTCTACAGTCCTTCAGTCCTTCCTGAGCATAATATATGATATCAATCCAGGTCCAGGTTCTAGAAGTGTATGGTTATTACATATGCCACATATAACAAGTGCAGAAGGAGAAGTGCAGCTTGTGACTGAAAAAAAAAATCATTGCAAACTTTGTGCTTTGTATTGTTATAGGTACTTTTTAAATTTAAATGAAACAACTGCATTACATTTTAACTTGTTATAGAATTGCCTATCTACTAGGGCCATCAAATCCTTCAGGGGGAAAAATGGTTTGATATGGCTGCTTTGAAAGTTGCTTCAGTCTGTCTCTGCAAATACAGTTTTTTTCTTTCGTTCACACATCTCTACCTTCCACCTATGTTACCTCAGCTTCTTTCCCTTCCATCACTTGTCTTCCCAATAACTAATGCATAAGTGTTTTGCAAGTAGTCCTTTTGAAAACATTTTCTGTCACTAAAGAAATGGCGACCATCCCTTCATAGAGACAATACCCAACTACCCCCTGCAGAGGAAAAAGAGCAAAATGGGACACAGAATTTAATCAAATAGTTTAAAAGCGTTAACTTACAGAACAGAGAAATCCAGATCCTGGTGTAGTATCTAGTCCCAGCAGAAGTCTAGTGATAGAGATCATGTAATCCTTAACGAATGACTAAAGATTTAAAATAACATAAGAAATGTTGAAAACATCAGCGAAGTAATTAATATCCACAGAAAGTAAATGTACCTACAAAATTGCCGTTTTTGTGTGTGGCGGATGTTCATTTGATACAGAGAAACCTGGCTTTATGGCTGATACAATGATTGTCTTTTGAAAGCTATACATCTGCTATATACCCACTATTAAATGACTTCTTTCTCCAACCTTGGCAATTTTTTTTAGTTCTTTTCCAGGTTTCTAATGGACGGTGAATACACTGTACTAAATAGCATAAATAATAGCTTTAATTCATACAGTAAGGTCTAACTGGCCCTCATGCACCTGACAGCATAAGGATCTCAGTTAACTGAAACCTTGGAGAGATCCTTGCCCTGCATGGACAAAAATAAACTAATTAAATGACAGAAAGTTACCCTAACAACTTTGTATTTCTATTACAGAGACTCCACTGGCAGTTTGGCTCAAAAGGAACAAGTCAAAGCAAGACAAGGAGGGAAAAAACCCCTCCAAACGGCTTTTATTCACTGAAAAGATGTTGACTCATTTACTCAATTATGTTTATATAATTGGAAAACAAGCCTGCTAGAAGCAATAGGTAGTTTCTGGTATAGTAATACTATACCAGAAAAAACACACAAATTGTTTAAGAAGAACAAAGGATTGGAGACCTGATTGGCTTACAAGCATGTTGTAAAATGTTTTCACAGTGTAAATGGATTTCCCCTGTTGGGATGGTAGAACTATTTTTAAGTCAGGAAATGCTATATCGTCAAATGGTGAATGTCTTGGACCTAATTCAATCCTATATCTCAGACCTGTCTTTTTCTTGTACTTTTTAAAAATGATGACAAAAAACCATATGCATTAATGCAGTTTGATAAGATGCCCAGACTCTTGATGATATTTATGTAGAGTAATATGCCTTTCTATGCAGTAGAACTTGTACTCTAGTTTTCAATTCTACAGTTTTTTTTTTAACTGATGAGCTCCTGTTTTTCAAAATCTTTCTTTTCAAACAAATAATCAGCAAAGACAAGAACACAGTTTAGTTGCTCAGAGATGAAACTCAGGTCAGGAAAAAAAAATCAGCATCATTTTTATTGTTAATGGCAACAAACATCTGAAGCCTAGACGTGCTATGATGGGGTTGTTTGAAACTTCATAGCTCCCTAAGCACAACTCGGCAGCAACATATTCATTAACTCTGTGGTAAGTACTGTGATGAAAAATGAATATCTTGAAATTGTCTGTATTGCGTGCCCAGCTTTTGTTCCCTTGACCCTAATTTTTGAAAAATGGCCTCCCATTTAGTTTACATGCCAGAATGTGATAACTGTTTGGTTGCAGTTTTAATGGTATAGACATGTTGGGCTATATCTAGAGCAATCCTAAAAGTTAAAAATGATAAATATGTATGGATGTGGATGCACTGATATGTCTACACAGCACATTCAAATATGCAACATGGAAGTATTATTAAATGACTGACCATTAAGAGTTACACTTCTAAAATAAGGAAATTAAGTATAAGATTTATAAGCATTGAAAACTATGTGTGATGTCTCCCTTGGATTCTTCCTCAGAGGTCAGCTCAAGGGAGAATGAGCTCATTTCTGGCACATCGGAAATGGAGTTGATCAATGGCTCTGAATAGCTGGTTGAAAGAGAATTGGAGGAGGCTTCAGCTGGGGAAAACTTACAGAGGAAGACCTCCAGCAAAGAGTAGGAGGAGCTGCCTTCTGCACTGCTCTGAGAGAATGCAGGGCAGAGAAAAGGCAGGAGCAATGGAGATCAGCCAGATTACTTGGGAAGAAAGGGCCCCCACCCATCTTATGGACTGCACTAGAGAGCTGGCTATTTATTACAGCAGGTAGAGGGAGACATTGCTGGGAGCAATGTGTTGGTTTTGTAGGTGTTCGTTTGATAGTCGTGCTTCCTGCTTTGCTATGTTTGGAATTGTGCTTTGGAGACTTTCTTGCCAAGAGAGCTCTCATTGTTTAAATTTTCCCTGTTGGATTTAAGTTTGTTTGGTAGATTTATTTGTTTGAGCAACTTTCAATTGTTTTATGGACTATTGGCCCATTGCTTTGTGGACTAATCTTGGCCTGCTTGTGGCTGGACTTATTTAGGACAATTCTGAGTCTTGGTTAAGGGAATTGCTGGGGAACATTAATAAACTCACTAAACCATTGTTGTGTGTGTGTGTGTGTGTGTGTGTGTGTGTGTGTGTGTGTGTGTATGTGTGTGTGAGTGGGGAAGCTCACTATGTGATAGAGTGGCTTTCAGGTGTTGGACCAAGAGCCTACCCTCAGGAAAGAAAATTGTCTCTGTAACTTGAGACCAGGCCCTCTCTCAGTCCAACAGGGGAAAAATAGAAAGGAGGAATGCTGTGTATATTGTCTTGAGGTCCTGATGAAAACAAGGATAAACAGAGTTCTCTCTTTATGGCTTAACTTCATAGATAGAGGGATTCTTAAGAACACTGGAACCCAAGTGATTCTTCAGAAAATCAAAATGATTTGGTTTTTTTTTAAAAGAATACATTTACCCTTCACTGTACCTGATACAGCAAGGTGTCCAGCATGCTGATACTGAAAACTCTGCCAGCAGCAAAGGGCAATCGAAACATGAATGCCAGGTTAGAACCTTTCTCTCGTTCTTTCTATTTCACATCAGAGTGACATGTGTGGAGGGAATTGGGTGTGGGGGAGTTGGTTGGAGAGGAGGAGCAGAAAAAGACAAAAAGACAATGCCAACATGTTAATGCCTTAAATAAACTGCAGTTGAGAGGGGTCCATGAGAAACATTACTATCACAGTAAACATTTCCTAACTCCTTGCTGTGAATTCATTAATTAATTACTCAAGGCAGTAATGATGTATCTCAAGAGCATTTCTTTTATTTTCCAGGACCCAACATTTTGAGTTATCTTCTGAAACAAACAACAATGAAATAGGACCCTTGTGTACATTTATATGAAGTAATGCCGCCAGTGCAATACAAACCAAATTCCAACATGAATTAAATTACTGTGAGTCTCACCATATGAAGGTATGCCACTTTCCAGTCTGCAAAGAGCTACCCAATACTTTGAATATCATGAGCAGTGGTTTTTCTACCTCCAATACTTGCCAATCCACAGAAAATTCCTTGCTGAATCAGCATCTTGGCATGGTTATCTATTTCTGTTCATGTGGGATATAAATGAGACCTACATGCTATCATGAACAATCTCTATGATAGGAAAGGACATCTACACCTCTGAAAAATAGACTGGAAATGGCAGACAAGCTGTCTCTTAAATAAGCTTTCTTACCATTTGATAGTAATGGCTGTAAAATTGGCAACTCCCTTGTTTTGGAAGACTCAAATGACAAAGAAAATTGGGAACCCTCTTTAAGAGAGAAGGGAGGGAGAGGGAAGGAGAGAGAGAGAGAGAGAGAGAGAGAGAGAGAATGAATTGCAGCTACACCTTCTCCAGGAATTTGAAGACTAGAAAATAACATCCATCTATGTATGCAAGTTACCCTGCTCTAGCTTATAGCCATTAATTCATCTATATTTTGTTAAGCTTTTAGAAAAGATCAATTATGGTCTTAAAATAGTTGATAATGAGTTTTCCTTCAGAAAAGAAAGAGGTCTGTTTTCTTAGCTACTACTATTTTTTTTTTAAAAAAAGGTTACATCAGCAGCATTCAACAAGAATAGAATAGAATAGAATAGAATAGAATAGAATAGAATAGAATAGAATAGAATAGAATAAACAGATTTTGGAGGGATCTTGGAAGTCTTCAAGTCCAACCCCCTGCTTGGCCCGAATCCCCTATAGCATTTCAGACAAATGGTTGTCTAATCTTGTCTTAAAAATTTCCAGTGTTGGAGCATTCACAACTTCTGGAGGAAAGTTGTCCCACTGTTTAATTGTTCTGTCAGGAAATTTCTTCTTAGTTCTAGGTTGGTTCTCTCCTTGATTAGTTTCCATCCATTGCTTCTTGTCCTATCCTCAGGTGCTTTGGAGAATCGCTTGACTCCCTCTTCTTTGTGGCAACTCCTGAGATATTGGAACATTGCAATCATGTCACCCTTGGTTCTTCTTTTCATTAAACTAGACATACCCAATTCCAGCAACCATTCTTTATATGTTTTAGCCTCCAATCCCCTAATCACCTTTCATCTTTGTGGGAATAAAGTGGGAACCTGCTTGTTAATTACAGCTGAAGATTGAAGACCAGGGTCAGAGACTACTTGGATTAACAAATTAGACTACCATGCTTCGTATACATTTAAATCATATCAAACCAGAAATAAAGTTTTCATACGTTCAAAAAATATAAATTCTGAGTAGATGATTGGTTATAGGATGTGAGATTTTCATGCAAGTATCAAGATTTATGATTGCATATTCTAAATGAACATTTATTCTCTTTCTAGACAGTTAAAGAAACTTAATCTTTTTCTCAATCACATTTAAATAAAAACAAGTGTCATATACATGTTGAAAGATTAAATATTTGCATAAATCTTGTACCTTCCTACATTTTGGTTGTAATTCTTTTTTAATCTTTTTCAGTGCAGATATTAATCATACAACCTTTATAGAATATGATTATACATGGAATTGAATTAATGAGTTGCAACTGAATGCCAATCAATGAACTTAACAGAAAATACTGTTTAATGCATGCTTCATTTTTTCTAAACATTAATTCAGTTTTAATTGCAAATATTAGGGCCATATTACACAGTATTTTCTTTTAAATAAAATATTGGATTGCCCTCTGTTCTTTTTTATTTGTGATTTTCAAAATAAAATATATAATACTCCATAATTAGTTTCATTTTATCTTATCTACATTACTCAAAGAGAAGGAAGACCTTACAAAGGTAAAAAAAGGAGGAAAAGGTGAGGCAAAACAGCTTTGATAAAATATGGAAATGGTTCTTTTTATTTTTATATTTATGCTTGTTTATTCTGCTTTGTTCTCTTTTAAGGTTTTCCTCTCTGACTGCTTGTGAAGTAATCGAAGATTAACTGCACTTTGTCTGGAGCTGTTGTCGTGTTTCTTCCATTTAAAGGTATACCAGGAAGAAGTATGAAAATACATCTGAAAATATCCTAAAAATACTCAGCCTCTCATGATAATAAACCAATAGCACTTCTTTTGTTCTGAAATTGGGCTTCCGGAGTAGAAAAATCACTTATTTGCTGGACTACTTTTAACAAACTGGTAGAATTTGGAGAGACCAGAATTTCCCTTCTAAGAATTGGCTTCTTTCCCTCTGTCTATATGCATCTGATAAGAGAAAAAGATATGCATACCAAACTATAAAACCCTGAAATAGCCACACTCCTGAAACCATAGGAGTGAACCTTAATTGGATTTAGTTTTCATTTTAGAATTGTATTCCAGTAAATACTAATTGCATTTTAGTTAACTTTACCAATTGCCTATCGTTTTTGAAGTTTATTTGTAAGCAGTAAAACATGGGCTGGAATATCTTTAACTATTACCAAATTTACTATAACTTTTGTTGCAAACAATCCCACCACCTCAACAACAATAATAATACTGTAGCCCCATAAATACTTGTATTGCATTACTCATTGTCTCATTATTGACAATCTTGGGTATCATTTTATATATCTGACAAAAGGGTCCTTCCTTCCTTCCTTCCTTCCTTCCTTCCTTCCTTCCTTCCTTCCTTCCTTCCTTCCTTCCTTCCTTCCTTCCTTCTTGCAACACTCTTCCGCACAAATTTGGTACAAGACAGAAAAATGTTTAACAACAGGATTAGATTTCCTTTTCTTAATTCTCATCTCCAGTCTTAATATATTTTGCCCTTAATAAACCTGAAAATCAGACCAGCATTTAACACTAATCTCTTATGATTACACATTTTCCTCCCAGCTGCCCACAATTTTGTGACAATTTAAGCTACAGTCTAGTCCCTGGTATGTGATATGAATAAAATGTTCTCCTCTTCCTGTTGTCATACATAATGATAATGCCATGGATATGACAAGATGGTGGTATACATCATCCAAATCTCCAGTAAGGAGAACGGAGTGTGTATTTGCTACTAGATTAAGAAAAAGAACCTCCCAGTCCTTAAAAGTACTTAATCCTCAAAATACATGCTTAAACAATGAAGAAAACTGTTTTTTTTTTAAATGCTTCATTAGCTTCCAATCTGTGGGTTCTATCTCCAAAAAGTAGTGGATTAAGTATATTAAAGGAAGGTTTGGCAGAAGAGTGAGTTTCTATCAGATCATACAAAATAATATATAACATTAATTTGTTTGGGCTGCTGCTGCTGTCAAGCCCATACCAATTGCTCATAACCAAGAATGCAAAGAGGTCATTAGTCATATTTATGGAAAGGAAAATATCTATCTTGGAAACTTTCATTCTCATTTACCTGTGAGTACACTAAAGCTTTTTTTTAATCATCTTTTTAATGGCCCCCTTGACAGGATGGAAATAATTCCCCCCTGCTTACCAGTTATAGAAAGAATATACAACTGTTAGGGTTCAGCAGTATTTTGCAAATAGCTATTCCCATTCCAGGTTCATAAAATTTCATTACATCTGCTTTACTGTCTGAGTTTACTCTTTAAAAAAATAATGGCTCTTTTAACTGCTTGTTTATGATTGTTTTACATATGGAAGCCATCTAGAGTCTTATGAATGGATTGGCACAGAAATTATTTAAAACAATCAACTAAATCCTCGTATTTATGGAAATGACTTTGTATTCTAAACTGAACACATTATAAACTATTTTTTTAAAATCCCACAAAAGTTAAAGTTGATTCATACATATTTGCTCATCACTTTATGATTCCTGCATGCGTTTCTTGGAGCAACACAGAGCTGAAAGTACAGGGAAATGTTTTATTTCGCTTCATATCACTGAAGTTATTTCACATAATCAGAAGCTCATCATCAATTGTATCGTAATGAAATAATGTACTCATTGTTGTGAACTAGGCCTTAACTGTTTTAATCCCACTGAACACAACTGGAAAACTGTATAATAAGGTTGGCCAACCTTGGCAACTTTAAGACTTGCGGACTTCAACCATGGCTGAGAATTTTGGGAGTTGAAGTCCACAACTCTTAAAGTTGCAGAGGTTGGACACCTCATATATATAGGTTAATAGCCAGTTTTTCTTTTCAACAGAAAATTAAAAATAAAATCCCCATCTTTCCTGGAATATATTCATCTTCCTAGTCATACAGTGGGGGATGAGTTCACTTGAACTTTAATTGGTATGAAGCAACCAGAAAAGTTAGTTTGACTTTGGGCATATGAAGCCTCACATTTTTCTGCTGAACAAAAGGCTCTTTGCTTGATCAGCTGCCAACTGTGATTGCTTAGCTATTTCCAAAGAGAAAAACAAGGAAAGCTACAGCTGTAGCAGCAGATGGAGTTCTCTTTCTGACTTAGGGAATTCTTGCTTTGGAAGCCCATTAAGCCACCAAGTCAATTTTCCATGTTTGGTTATACACTTTTGCTGAAGGCAACAGTTGCATTTTGGAGTGCCTTTGTGCTGCAAAGGGCCTACCTCAGGAATTAACAGTCAGCTACCCATCATATCACACAAAGCAATTTCCTGTCAAATATTTAATTGCCTTTCATTGTGTACAAGGGAATTTT